CTTACTGAGCCATAATGCATGCTGTAATTAAAGAGAAATCCAAAACAAGACCTTTGCTTGGCAAAAAGGAACCTGGTTCTTGCCATAAAACCTTGCAATACCATTAAGTTCAGATCAGTTGAAGCAAATGTATGAGAAGAAACAGTGGTGCCCTTAGGGATTCTGCAAACCTGAATATTAGAAAATTCCCATCTGGTGATCAGCTTACAAACCAAAGGAAGTGTAGAAGTTTGCTGGCAAACTCTTCAAAACTGTTCTGTGTATTGAAAAGACATTAGCAGGAGGCTCTCTTCTGCCTGATATTGTTAAATCTGGTGTGAAAGCTTGGTACCACCAAGTTCAGCATCAAGACCACAATGAATTTAGGTGGGAAGGCGAGTTCACCTCAAATGAGGTGACAGCTGAGGTAGAGTTTTGCTCTTGGCTCAGTTCTGACATTTAATTTGGTAAGATGATCATCCTGAGGACAAATCTGACAAGGGCTTCCCGAGTTGGGTTTGAGTCCCGTGTGTGCCTGCCCTGCTCTCAGGACAGAGGTGCAGGCACTGGGGCCACACCAGGCGCGTTCAAGTCAATGCAGGCATTTTCAGTGGTAGCAGATGTTTTGTTGATGGCTGAGACATGCAGCCTGTTGTTTCAGCAGCCATCTCCCTCAAGGGTTTGGCAGGGATCACAGGGAGCTGGAGCAAGTGGGTTAGCTGAGGGCAAAGTGTTTTCCTAGCCTTACCTCCACAGGTGAACTTACTAAATGTAGTGGTCCTCTAAGTGATTTGGCTTACCCTAACTGAGCAAGGCTTATTTGAGAGACAACAGAAAAGTTATCCTTAACTTCAGTGAGCTTTGGAGCAGCCCAGCCTCTTTTGTTGTTGTCTTCGCATGTTACACAGCACCATTGAGCCAGCTGGCATCTACCTTTCCACCAAGTCATGCAGTGAATTGCTTCTGCCTGTTGCATCTCATCAGGACTTCAGGTTTGCTGTTCAGCAGCAAGGACCATACCTTCACTTCTCTGTTTCTTTCCTTTGATGCTGCAGTAGAGCCCTGGGCTGCTGACTTTCAGGGAACAAGTGTAGATCTCTTCTTTCTTCGTGTATGGGAATGATTGTAATTTGAGACAGATGATCCTATTCACTTTCTTTAAGAAGGCAAGAAAGATTCGTGAAGAAGACATAAAAAGGCACATTTAGCACAACAAAAAGTCAGCATAAATTGACATATTTCCCAGAAAATCTGACAGTGCTAAAACTGATGAGTTTGTAGCATTTCAGGCAGTTGCATCTCCCATTTTGTTTTGAGGAGACCCTATTAGCTATGCAGGAGACAGGAGAGCATCCAAAAGGAGCTTACAGAAGTAGGCAGCAGAGAATGCAGAAGGCAGCATAATCTACTGAGTTAAGCAGTGAACACAGAATGTGTTTTAAGTTGCAGTGCCTTGGCTGATCCTTACAAGTTCTTGAAAGTAGTGACATTCAAGCAAAGAACCAGATACTACTGCTGAATTGGAACTGAGGGCTCCAAATACATAAGCAGCATCTGTCTGTCTTGTCTCCTGTACTTAGGTCAGGGAGTCTCTGCAAGGATGTAATTGAAGGTTTGGTCCAGAAAGTCATGGTTTCCTTTGAATGTCTATAAGAACACAGCCTGGCATACATTGTGGTGATCTGCAACGAAGCCAGAAGTTTTAAGAAGTTACAAATGGTGGTAAATAGCTTTCCCAGCAGAATGGGAAGCGAGTTTGTTGGTCCGTTTTGGTGAATGGAGTTCCTCTTTGCTAAGGATGAAAGTTTTGTCTTTGCACTTTGAATGAGAAACCCTAAGATGTCATTATAGTATCCTGTCTTTGACACTAATTTGCCCCCTGGTTTTCTAGATAGACAGAGCATCTCTCATAGCCAGGAGTCAGGTAGGTCCAGATTCAATTCTGTCCTGTGAGCACCCTCATTCTTTATTCTGCTATAGCATAAATAATAGTGGCAGAATGTAACTGTAATATTCTGATGGTACCTTTAATGAAATACTTACTGGGTGGGATATGAACAAGCCATGTGAAACTAGCTACAGCCTGAGTTACTGCTTTGCAAACTTTTTACTATGCATTTCCATATAAATACATGTCAAGTGATTACATTTTTATGGCGTTTTGAGTGAAGCCCTGGCTGATGGCTGCTTTGGCACATCTCTGTTTGATCTAAGAGTCATTCCATATAAATATTCAATGTTTTTCAAAGTGGAGTGGTTTTGGACCCCCAAGCACGTAGAATTTACTGCCTCTGTGTTGAGGGCTGACCCAAACACAGCAGAATTTGAATTCCCCCTGTAAAATTGACTCCACTAGTTGTGCACATTATTCTCCCTGTCTCCCATTTAGCATGTTAGTCTGCTGACAGTGGAGTACACAGCACTTAGCAGCTGGTTTGTGGAACCATCAGTCAGGAAATTATATGATAAATAGGAGGTAGCCAGGTTTAGTGGCACTTTATTCTGCTTCAGCAGTTTTAGCCTGACTTTGGAAAAGTCATCATGTGGTTTTTCTTAAGGGTTGCAACAGGAGATGGCTACAGTGTGGTAACTTATTACACATACACTTGAGTTATGATGTTCACCAGCTGTATTGCTCATGTGTAAATAATAAACTCTGAGATGGATAATTATGTTGGGTTTTGATATGCAGCTCTGCTCTGATCGGTGCAGGGCTGACAGAGACAGCTCCCTGTGCTGTGATGGAATACGGCTGTTTCCCAGATGGAAACTGCAAACAAGATGCAACCAAGATACACAAAGGAGCCTAATGTGGGAGGACTCCAAAAGGTGTTCTTGGAGATTTATATCCCATGTGTTAAATACAGCTTTTTGGTGCTCTGTGTTGCATAGGCCCCACAAAGGAGAATACTCTTTTGAGCCTTCTAATACTCATTTTCTGTTTCCCAGGTAGGGAAAGGTAGATAATCACATTCAGGAGGGTTAAATGGTGTTTTGCTGTGTAAATACTGGGACTGCTTTTAAAGGATAGGTGCTCAGACTGGGTGAGGGTGGGCCTGTGAGGAGGTTTGGCATCCCCAGTGGGATTGCTTTCCTTGACCAGCTGGAGCCTGTACTGTCTGACATGCACAGAGGTGACAGAATATGTGGTCTCATCATACCAGTGAAGCATGGAACAGGGCAGATGGGGGGGGTGTGCTAAAACACACTTCTCATGCCCCTTTTCCCCCTTCTGCACCTTGGTGGCTTGTGAGGAATGTGTTTCAGAAGGTAGAAGCAAGCATCCTCTGCTCGGATGATGATGGTGTGTTCACAGGGGTACCTGGCCGTCTGTGACCCACCTTTTCTTTTGGAGAAGCTTGCAGTAGATTGCATGCCAAGGTCCAGTTGGTGCAGCAGAGCCAGAATTAAAGCTGTTGTAAGCTAGCAGTAAGCCACAATTCTTCTTCATTGGCGGAGCCTTAAGCCCAGAGTCAGTAAATGGCAGAAATGTGCTGCGGCTGATCACATGCTGGTGATGTTCCACTGAACAGGCTGTGTCGAGTGTTTCCAGGTTTTCCTGTAATAGTGGGAATTTTTCCTCAAAATTTGTACAATTTCCCCTTCATCTCCTCCATTTACTCCCTCAGGACCATGAGGTTTGTTCCTCTCGTTCCTTCTCCCAGTTCAAAACAACCAATCCAACTTTTGACGAACACCAAGGGGAAAAATGCTTTTGTATTTAACCATCTCTAGCTGGCATGAGGGAACTGCTTTCACAGATAACATAATCTAAAAAGGAGGATAGCATTTTTGCTGAGTAGAAAAGGCAGGAAATACAAGGAGAAGATAACATCAGGATTCAGCAGGCAAAACCAAAAATAGGCTTGGTTTTACTGCTAGGGCATAACTAAAGCTTTCTTTCTAGAAGCATTTTAATATATCCATGACATGCCCTAATATCTGTATGCCTCAATATTTGGTGTGGGATAAACACATGACTTCATCCAAAGTGGCAATAGGGTAATAATTGGGCAGGATCAGTTTGATTTGTGCCACTGGAGATGCTCAGCATCCCTTTTGTTTTGAGCAGCTAAGCAGACACTAACCTTTTTGGGCACACAAGTAGCACCTGTGTGCTGATAGGTAGAGCTTTGGTGCATGTGCCTTGTGTCCTCCAAAGCTGGGAGGCAATCCTGCTGCAGAAGTGGTGGGCTGCTGTGGGGTGGGGGGGCAGAGCCTGTGGGGCAGCAGGAGCACATTCCCCCTTTTGTCAACCTCATTACTGAGACTCCCAGAACAGCAGAGAACAGGCTCCTTGCAGCTGCAAACCCACTGTCCTGTGGAAGCCTTGGAGGAGGTGGGGCAGGGGAGCTCACTGCAGGATGGGGATAAAGAGGGCACCTTTCCCATTAAGAATGGTGTGTGAAATGAGCCCCCGTGTCCTCAGGCACATTCCTCTGGATGCGGCCATCGGTGTGACACAGTTAAGCATCTCCAGTAAGGCCTTTCCCAACTGTGTTTCCTTTTAACTCCGTTGTCTGATCTACTCCAGATAGTAATACCTCATTATGCCGCTTCAGTTTTTTCTGCTGCAAGACTGTGTACATCTCTGAGGACATAACGGGTTTTTATTGTATTGTATTCTTTGCTTAGGCTTTTTGTCCTGGGACGATTTCTTTTTTTCTTGTTTCAATAAAAAGTATATAAATCAGGAATGCTTATGAAAGGCTTTATGGTCCTTTTGATCTGACACTTCACATATGGGCACATAATTATTTATTGAAGACTTCTTTATGTCCCTTTCCATTTAAGCTATAAAAAAAGAGTATTGAAATTAGTAAGTACATAATCATGCAAACACTGTGGGCCAGACTGTCCTCTTGGACAGACCTGACTGACTGCAGCAGGGAAGGAGAATGCGACCCGGCAGCCATGGCACTGCTGACACATGTTTTTCAATGCCTGTGTAGTCCTTATGAATGTTGTTTTTAAGGACTTGTTGGAGATACTCAGACCTGGGAACCTTGCTTGTTTTTCAGATCCGCCTCACCTCTTCCCAGCATTCCACCCTCCTGTACCTATTGATGCGAGACATCATGAGGGGCGCTACCATTACGAACCATCTCCCATTCCTCCTCTGCATGTGTGAGTATTCAATGGTTCCCTTTGCTTCAGCCTAGAAGAACGGGCAAGTATATGAACCTCTGTGGTGCTCAGAGCAATTCCCCTGGAGTGCTTTGCCAGCCTTGCTGGAGGGCAAGTCTTACTTCTGGAAAGCACTGAAGTTATCTGTTCATGAAGCAAAATCCAGGCTGGATTCCTGAGGAATTCCTGTTACAATAGGTGTCTGGCAAGTGTTACCTGTGTGTTTTGGTGACATTTATTCTGTGTGCTGTTGTTCTATAAATACTAAATTAGAAAGCGCTGAACCCTGTGAAATACAGCCAGACAAAATGTGTATTTTGTCTGTATTAGGCTTGGGATTCTTCACAGCTAAAATTCCCTCTCATGCCAACGATTTTGTTTTCCCAGTGACTGCTATGAAGCATAATGAAATTTTTGGTAAATTTTCCTAGTCCCTGTTGTGTGCACACACAGGCAATCGGTTGATTGATGGGAATGTCACCCAAACAAAATGGCAAATGTGATAGAGCACATGGTTTACACAAAGATAAAAGAAATGAATACCAGTGATAACGTGCATTAGAAAGGGTGGTAGTGGTGAAATCCTGTAGAAATAAATATTATCTTATTCTTTGTGGGGAGACGGATATCAGCATTGCAGAATAAAACAGTTATGTCCAGAAAACTGCTATATACGGTTAAAAATGGGGTTTGGTACTTTGCTAAAAGGCTTGATACATACATTTAATCATATCTACTAATCACCCCTCATACTGAGAAAATACAAGAAGAAAAGCACGAGTAATACTTTGAAGAATAATGCTAGTTGTTTAGATGGCAGATTGCTTTGCTATGGCTATTAGTTACAGCTGTGTAATTACATATATGCAGAAGAAAAATGAAGTTGTTTTAAAACAAGTCCTCCTCTGTGAGCAGAATTAATTGATATTAACAATCCTAACTACATGCCCAAGTACACACACAATATTTTACTCACGTTTTTTTTGGGTCAGTCTTCTATTACTGCATTGTAATTTCAGAGCAGATTTGCCTTGAGGTAAGTAATCAATCTGTGTTGCAGTCTTCTCGGGCATTAGAGAAAAAGTGGGTATTTATAGAGAGTACCGAAACTTGTGATTTATTCCTCCAGAGTTCCCCTGATGCATCGCTATTTACACCACAGTCAACCACATCGTAAAATATATTCAAATCCACGCTGAAATTTGCTGCTAAAAGCAGTTGTAAGCTGAAGGTGGCAGGCTCAGACACTCAGCATATGGCCATCCTAGATTTTGTGGTGCAGTGAATGCTCTGCTGGATGCTTTGAGGAGCTGGAGGGGGTGATCTTGCTCCTTCTGAAGTTAGTGGGGAATTTGTCTTTGGTGCAAGGCAGATGGGGTAGGATGCCCCAGGGGGTGTTTTAACCTACATCAGAGAAGGACTGTCACCCAAAACCTGGGTACTGTCTGTGAGTCCTCATGGAGGCTTCTGGGTCCTGTGCCATGTGGGACCCGACTTGCCTGTGCTTGAGCCCTCTCTGGAGCCTGAGCCCTATGAACCCAGCCTATGCCATGACACCCTGTGCCTGCAGGCAAGGCTTTTGGGTGGGTAGATCACTGTTTCCCACTTCGGGTAACAGTAGGGAATCCTATCTTGGGCTGCGTCCAAAGGAGAGTGACCAGCAGGTCAGAGGAGAGGATTCTACCCCTCTGCTCTGCTCTGGTGAGACCCCACCTTCAGTCCTGTGTCCAGCTCTGAAGTCCTCAGCACAGGAAAGACATGGACCTGTTGCAGAGGGTCCAGAGGAGGGCCACAGAATTGCTCAGGGGGCTGGATCCCTTCTCCTGTGAGGAAAGGCTGAGAGAGTTGGCCTTGTTCAGCCTGGAAGAGGCTCTGGTGAGACCTTATTGTGGCCATTGTGTTCTTAAAAGGGGCCTGTAAGAAAGATGAGGAGAGACATTTTAGCAGGGCTTGTTGTGATAGGACGAGGGGTGATGAGTTTAAACTAAAAGAGGGGATATTCAGGCTGGACGTGAGGAAAACATTCTTTATAGTGAGGGTGGTAAAACACTGGCACAGGTCGCCCGGAGAGGTGGTGAAAATGTTCAAGGCCAGGCTGGATGTGGCTCTGAGCAACCTGATCTAGTTGAAGGTGTCATTGCAGGAGGATTGGACGACATGACCTTTGAAGGTCCCTTCCAACCCAAACTGTTCTGTCATTTTATGGGAATTTGGGACTAGCAGCCTACGCTGCTAAAAGTGACAGGATTTCTGAAAAGGTGCTGAAGATGCCTCACTTGGTGTTCAGTGGTAGTCCCCTCTGATGTCAAAATCAATGCCCCTTCTATGGAAACGTGCTGCGTATTGTACGCCACCCTCCCTGCCATACCCCGCGGGCCAACCGTGATTCAGCCAGGCCCTGCAGAGGCTTGTTAGAGGTGAGGAGATCTTGGTGTGATGTGATATGGCTGCAGGCAGCTGCTTTAAAATACACTCTGATATTAGCCAAGCTTTAAAGTCAAAACTTCCTTGATACCAGCCGTTGAATTTCCCATTAACTTCTGTCGATTCTTCTGCTCATTTGGTTTGCGTCACCATTGGAATGAGGAGCTGATCACTGACTCCAGCAGCTTCTTCATAGATGCTGGTTTTGTTACGTTTGTGCACTTCCCAGGGTTATGTTTCAGTGTATGTGTGAGGTAAACACCCAGCAGTTTTCTTGCAAGTTTTACAGAGCCTGGTGTGGGTATGACTTAGGAGCGTTAGATTTGGGATGATTTGGAGCCATTACTTGAACTGCTGTCCTAACATCCAAGAAGGAATAAGAACTGGGTATGGGAAGCTAGTTGACAATTCTGAGATAAAATAGCAAGACCACTCAGCATACAAATGTTTACCCACAGCTTTATCAATGATTTCATTGTATGGTGGTTTGCTCCTCAGCTTCGTAATGCTCTCGAATGTGTGTGTGTGTGGAATATAAATTAAAAGGGGGGGGGAAATTACATCATTCCAGTTATCCAAGCTCTTAGAAATGTGTTCCAGAACCTGTCAAGCCTTAGTGGAATTAGTTTAGGTATAATACAAGTGCAGAAAAAGCATGGAATGGGCCTTGTCTGCATACCTACAGTGTGTGCATGTAACTTTGAACAATGGCCAAGTGAAAAAGAAAAGGGAAAGGAGGAATTTTTCGGGTGTTACAGGGCTCCTACATACTTGCAGCTCAAAAGAGGTATATGTATTTGCATAGATATTTCCTGTAGTTTAATTGCTGATGGGCAGAACTGTTGTATCCCAAATTTCAGCCTGGAGCCAAATCTTGTAATTTGAGCTATAAACCCCTAAAAAAAGGGTTTATGTTTATGATGGAATTGCTGACAGATCCTTATGTATATAGTAGGACTAGCAGGCATTGCTGTAATTATGCTATCGTATCCTATCATTAAAGATTTCAATTGAAAGAGGTTTATAAATTGCTCTTCCTCTTAGATAAACCACCCTACATTAAGGCATCAACGATATGGTGCAGAATTAAATTAAAATCTCATAAAATGAAATATGTTCTGTATTAGCTGTTTGACACTTAATTTGCCTCTGAATGAGTAGAGGAAATCACAAATTAACCTGCCTTTGTTTTTCCAGCCATGGCTTATTAGGTGTTAGAACAACTGCAATTACAGCCCAATAATAACCCCCAACCCTTATGAATACGTACTGAAATGTGTCACTTTGCGTTACCAAAACCTGTTCGTTAGGACTGTATAGTTACCCTTGAATTTCTACAGCACATCTTCGGTTTATACTTCAGGGAAGATGTATGAGACTGAAGTTGTTCTTTGGTGGCAACATATGAACAGTGCAGTTGGAGCTGGAGCTTGTGTATTCCTTTTTTATTATTTTCTTCTCCAAATTCAAGGCATGAATTTAAGAAATTTAAGACATGAAGCTTTAAGAAAAACCCCAGTAAACTAGAATTAATTATTGCTACTTTTGATTGAACTAGCAAGTTAGATTAATTGTTAACCATCATACAATTAAAACATACCAAAAGCATGGCTTTACTAATCCCACTTCTTGCTTTGTTCTTCTTTGTTGTTGTTTTTGTCTAGCTCTTCCTTAATTTTCAAAATTGATTTCTAAAGTAAGTTACTAAAGGAGAAACTGGAAGCTAAACTGTTTTGATCCTTGACATTTGCTGGTCATCCAGTAGAGTGGGCTGCCTTCCCCAGTTGGTGTATTTAACTGGGACTACTTAGGAAGCCACCATTTGTGGACATTCCTTCATTCCTTCCATACCTTTACTGAGTTGTGTTAATAGGTTGCTCCCAATCTGCTCCATTTCACAGTGGGGCTGGTTAACCTTTGGAGGCTATCTAACCTGGTATTTCCAGTCACCATTAACGTGTCTGTGAAGGAAGCATGCTCCTGCAGAGGTGGCTGGTGGCAATGTCAGGATTGGCTCCATCATGGTGGCCTGTGTATGTCTCCAAGCAGTTAACACATGTAAGCTAGTAGAAAGTTAAAATGTTCGGGCTAAATGAGAAACTACACCATGCATGTTCCGAAACATTTATCCTTTTAGTCTCTATTTCTCTTTCTGTTGCCATCCCATTTTACATTACCTCTGGACTCTGAGTAATGGAGTGTGAGCAGGTAGATCTAATAGAAGATGCACTGATGCTACCCATATGCTTATGGCCAGAGGGGGGTGCAAGGTAAAGCTGCTGTCTTTTATTGTTGATCCTAGGAAGCTACTCCAAGCTCCATTTTTTTAACTGCTGATTGAGGCTAGAGGCATCCAAGTTTGGCAGTCTTACACCCTGAAATGATGCATGTACAGATAATGGTGCATGTGCCTAACACTGAAACCTTGAACAGATATTTTGGACTGTGTGAATGCACTGGTACTAAAGCAAAGCATGTGTTTTGCTTGCAGTTGGCTTCAACTTGATAAAAAGAGAGTCTGATTATTAGATACGTTATTTCACATCTGATTTATGGAGACATCAGTTACACAAGGG